ACTACTGCCAGTGACTAAGCAGTTTCTATAAATCAAGCTGCAGCAGAGTTCAGAAGCCTAATAATAATCTGAAGATGTAAAATAATAATAATATGGTGGGTTTAATGTTAAGAAGGTCACAGATAAGTGTAATAGGCATTCTGATGTTGAGACTTGTAGCTTGGTTTCGAATAATTTTAGTACTCTATTTGATGTCTAGTCTTACAGCATTAGAAACTGGAATTAAACAAGGCAATTAAAACACAGCAGAGCTGTAATCTGATTTATTTTCTACGTCTAGCTTTGCTGCTTCACCTTTTCCTCTGAGCCCTTCGTCTCTCACATGTTAAAAGTACTTGCCATTGCCTATTTGGGCTTTGGCACCAGTTTGCCTGCCGAGACACCAGCAGTGCCCCCGCTCCCCCTCCCACTCTATTTAGCAGCAGCCAAGGCCACCACCGCAGCTGGATGTTTACGGGGTGGCTGTGAACCAGCAGCGTAAGGGTGCAGACGTCCTCCCCAGTACCATAAACATCCAAGGCTTTTGCACAACACATCCAAAATGCCTGACAGTGCCTCTACAGCTGGCACAGGACGAGCCCTGCTTATTCCATTTACTGTAACTGTCTCATTATTACTTTGTTTATATTGGTACAACTTAATCCAACTAATTACCATCATGAACTGCCGCACATTAAGGCTCTGGCTATAAAGGACTATTGTACTGCACTAAATGTAATCCTTCTTAAAACGTCCTGTGTTCGTACCTACCAATTTTCCAAGATTACATCTGTGTAACACATCGACACCGAAGGCTTTGCAGACCTTTGATGTACATATGCTGAAGCAAATGTCTCCAAAGCAGGCACGGCTTTGCACTGCCGGCTCTTTGGGGCAGGAGCAGTTTGTTACAAGTATGTTCAGTACCGAGCAGTGCCAGACATTGTGGCTGGAAGTAATAGACATTCCCAGAGCAAGATTAATGAAAACCTTACGAAATGCCACCTGCATATTGCCATTGCTCTAGTTTTATCGGGAGAAGCCATTTTCCCCAGAGTTTCTGACCCAATCTCAAGCGCAGCGTGGTTCAGGACAAGGCAAGCTCTCCTTCTCGACAAAGCTGAAGCATCAGCTCTGGGTATTTTGTCAGGGAGAGTGGGGACCAGGGCCAAACACACCACTGATCCAGCTCAGCCCAACACAGGACACATTTCAGCTGTTCACATTAGCCAAATGAAGTTGTTCCTGATGGCACGAAAAAGCAGGTGCTTCGGCAATGCCCAAGCTTTGCGACGCCCTGCTGCGCAGAAGCGAAGGAAGGGCAGTCTCTCTGAATGCATAAAAGCATCCCGCAGCAGCAGTATACCCGTCAGCTTTGGCAGCTTAGGGATGGATTCCCATTGTCAACACCAGCCCTTTGCCCAACCGTCATCCTTTACCGCTTGCATACACCATGCACCCCAAAGCTATGCCATCATTAGGGAAGAATAACGAAGAACTGAACCCACACATCACAGCGTAACATGTCACCACCATATTACCTTGCAAAACATCATCATGCTGATCAAGCATCCAAATAGTCCAGCCCCGACAGCAAACAACACATCACACTCCTGCCACATAGTCAAAGGCCTGAAACTTGAACTGGTGTTACTGGGGAGGTCAGCAAGAGAATCATACCTTAGAGCAAGGCCACTCTAATAGCAAGCCAGGATAAAAAGGGTTAAGTTTGAAGATAAGGCTTAGTGATTCTGATGTTACTACTGAGCTCTGTGGGGCCTGGGACCATCTGCACCCAGAAGGAACCATTTTCATCACACAGCCTCAGGTTTTGCATAACTCAGGGTTGAATCAGCATTGTATCCAGCAACAGCACGGTAACGTTCAGGTGCACATCGAGTCCAGGGTGCAAGAAATTATTTTACTGGAAAATAACCCAGCTTTATGCCACTTTGGTGTGGCAGTTAGCTATTACCACATGATTTGTGGATGGGGAAACTGAGGCACAGAAGGAGAGCACTGTGTTCAGTAGCTGGGAGATCCTGCAGCCTCATCAGGCCAGTGGGAAGAGCCTCGCTGCTCCATCACACAATCCCATGTGTGCCCACGCAGCTCCTGGGGGAGCCCTGCACCCCACTTCTGCCCTGGGTTCACAGGAGCCTGGCTCTTCTGCAGCTCAGCTGCTGACTGAGACCAAATGTAGCTGTAAGATTAATCAAGCCCAACCTCCTGTTAATCCCCCGCTCCACCAGTAAGTACACCACCATTATTTAAGCACCTAAACCCAGCCTGATTTTCAGAGGTCCTGGATGTCTGCATTGAGTCCAGAGACATCTGAGGATCATCAGAACTGCTGAAAATCAGGGTGCTATTCTTGAATCAATATTTAAGTCTCTTTATATATAATCTTAAGCAAAGAGAATAACAGAAGTCCACAATACACTACCTGAGCTATAGACTTATATGAAGGTGGTGTTACAGTCAAGGCATTGCAGTGGGTTATATGAAATCCTGCAGAAGTCATTCAATTTCTGTGTGCCCTATTTCCACATCTGTGAAATGGGGATAACAAGACATCATGTTGCGAGGTGCTGAGCCACTAAGAGTTATTACAGGAGCTGCAGAAGTTGCTATAAATACCTGAAGAACGAGGGCATTCAGTGTTACACTAATAGAATACAAAGTCTATAAAAGCCTTTGCATTTTAGAGATGAAGGCTTGAGATAACTACAGGAAGCTGAAAAAATCCTCCCAGACCTTCGTCCACAGCCACTGATATTTCCCTGCAGACCAGGGCACGTTGATACGGTGGGAAGGCAGTATTTCTGCTTTACAGAGATGGGGATCCAAGAGCCTTCAAGCTGGTGACTGGTTGAACTGAACTTTCACAGGGAGAAGGTTAGTTTCAAAGTAAGCAGCAGGGCTTTTGAGCTCACTTTCAAGTTCAAATGAGGCCAGGTTTGGAGAGACCGCAGACCATTTTGCCACTCTTGGCCTGGTCTCTTGGCTTTCTCCTGAAGTCAGGCTATGTCAAGTCCCCTTCACATCACCCAAACAGTACAAAAAGGCTTTAGAAGAAATCCATCCCAGGCTTCCCACAGCACCTTTAGCCCTTTCTCTACAGCAAAAAGGTGCTCAACTCCTGCATAGCTGCGACCTCCTATTCCTTGGACTTACAGAGACTCTCCTGCAAGATCCAGCAGATGCAGATGTAGACAAAACAAATGCATGAATCTTAAGGAGAGGGGAGGAGAAAGACCTGCCCCTGCACAGGTGGTGCAGCAAAGCTTGTCTGGAATCATGAACCTCCCTTCAGGTTAGAGGCTGTTTCTGTGGGCAGCTGCAGCTGGCAAGTCTCTGCAGCACAGCCCTAAGCCAGCGAAGCAGGAAAAAGCAGACTCAGACAGCAGCAGAGCTCCACCTGGTTGTACCTCCGCTCCCGAAGGAGTGGTCTTCAGCCCCTCCAGCTTTGTGAACTCCCAATACTTCCCCTGAGGGGCTGCAGCAGGTTTGCTTTCCTTAGTTACCCTTCCCAGACCCTTGGAAGGAAGCCCACGGACACCTCTCCACTTACCACAGGTGAAAAATTTCTCCAGAGGAGCCTCAAGACTTCCGTAGATCTCTGAGGATCAAAAGGATTTTGAAGGGCTAATCCCCTTTCTCCTCCAGGAGAGTCACCATCCCTGTGTAGGTTAATTTAGCAAAAAGGCAGCAAAAGAACTTCATGTAGGGTTTTTTCCCCCCATGCTAAGCTAGTGGCTGTGATGAGAGGCAAGGAAGAAAGAAGTGGGGAAAGCTGTCAATAATCCCATCTCACTGCTACTATTACCATCATCTGTCCTGTATATTATGTTGGCAGCAAAAGGGAGGTGCCTCAGGCAGAAAAATACCATGAAAAGTATTTTGCTACCCCCGACCCTGTCAGACAGTATTTGTTCCTGGTGAGATGTTTCA